GAGGTGGGGGGGGGCAACTTTTATTGGACAATCTCTGGAGCCCGGATTCCTAATTTCTGGGAGGTGCCACGTTAGAGCTGGTGCCCTGTCCCCACCCTCACAGCAGCTGGGGCCGGGACATGGGCTAGTTCCCCATGTCCCCACAGGTAATTTCAGAAAATGAACAAGCCGCCTCGGGCTGGGAGGGTGCCTTTCTGTGCTGCTTGGTATCTGGGGGTGTGTGCGTGTGCACGCACGTGTGTGCACGTGCGTAGGAGTGTGCATGTGTGCGCGCCAGAGTGTGCATGTCTCTGGATGCATGGGTATTTGTGCATATGTGCGTGCACACGTGTATGCATGCATGGGTGTGCATGTGTGAGTGTGCACACGTGTGTGCATGCGTGCACATATGTGCATGTGTGTGCGTGTGTGTGTGTGTGCATGGGTAGTGTGCATGGAAGGCATAGTCTGGAGAGATGTAAGACTGGCCCTGTTGGTCCCCTCTGCTGGCCCGGCCCAACCAGTAGCAGGCGGGTCCATACTCCTCCCAGCCCCAGGGACACACAGGAAAGCAGCACTTGTCCTGAGGACTGTCAGCTGTCCTGGGGCATCTGCTGCTATTTCTTGGACTGACAGGCTGTGCTCGACACCTCAGGATTCCGGAACATTGGACAAGGCGCTCAGGCCCACCTGGCTTCCGCAGCCTCTTGTGCAGGCCTTTGGGACACCGACCTCAGCTTAGTGACTCCCACTCCAGTGCTCTGCTCCCTCCACTCACTCCCTCTTGTCTCCTTTTGTCCCCTGGAGCAGCCCCTGTCCCTCCACCCTCTCTCCAGGGCTGCACCCCAGCTCACCTTAGACCTGTCTCTTCCTACCTGTTGCCCCTACTGTCCTGTCCCCTCCCAGCTGTCAGGAGAGAAAGTACTGGCCCAAGCCCAAGACCCACCCCTGACTTGGGGAAGCGCCAGGCATCACCCAGAGCCCGGGCTCCAGTGGGCCTGGTGGGTTTCGCTGTAGAGGGAACCAGGCTTGGAGCTGGGGCGGCTTCTCCTGCCACCTGGCCCGGCTGGGCCTCCTGCCCCCTTCCTGCCTGCCCTCTGAAAACTCCAGCAGGGGGCGGGCAGGGGGAAGAAAAGGAGGGACAAGTTGGACCGGGTCCACTGGGTGTCCAGGAGCAACTTGGAGAGAGGCTGGGGGAGGAGCCAGGCGTCAGGGCCCTGGCACAGTGGACGGCTGGCGTTTGGATGTCCTCCTGCCTCCGAGACCATCGTCCTGGGACAGTATGACCACGAAAGGGAGGGCTCAGTGGCTCTGACCTCGTCACTGCCCCGGCGTGGGGCCTGTTGGGTGGGTGTACAGTGGGCACAGCCTCCGTCTCTCCCGGTTGAGCAGCTCCTATGCCCGAGAGGTTGCCACAGAGACTTCCCTTTGGGGTGGGGTGGTCCCAGGGGCCCTCGTCCCCCTGCAGGAGGACCTCCTGAGGCTTCGAGAGGAGGTGGCCCAGCCACACCCGGAGGAGAATGCTGGAGCTACAGGTGTGTGCCTCTGTGGCCCGGCCGGGCTTCTTCATGGTCTCACTGCCTGGGCCTCCTTGGCTGCCTGTCCTTGTCTCCCCTGCCCTCCGCTGACTTCCCAATGCTCAGGACGCTCCTGGACACGTTCCTTGCTCTGAGCTTCCACTCAGGCTGTTCCCTCTCTCCTTCTTTTTCCACCTGGAGACTCCCATGCCTCCTCTTCCTCCACTGACTTCATCTCCACCTGGGTCCAGACTGCCCACCCCCTTGCCCTCCCCCAGTCGTCCTCCCTCAGTGATTCCACCCTCAGTCATCCTCCCTCTGCCATCCTCCGTTGCTGCAGCCTGGACAGCAGGTGCGTTTCACCACAGGTTTCGGTGTCCACCACCCGCTCCAGACCTGCCCCTGGTCCAGCTGGCATCCTCTGCAGTGAGCAACTCGAGTGGCACCGGGGAGGCGTCCAATAAACCTTTGTGAAATTAAGTGAGTGTGGTGTGGACTTGCTGAGTGCCCCATGTTTTGGCAGAATTTCATGGCATTTCACTCTGCCCTTTTGCACACCTGCAGCAGCACGCAAGGCGGGGCCTGTCGGCAGCCGTGGCCAAGTGAGGTCATTGGGGACCTGCCACCATGAGCAGAGGGGGCAGCTCCTGGGCAGTCCCCTCCGGCATCTAATGAACGGCCCTGCCACCTGACCACCGGGCTGATCTGGTTCCCACTTTGAGCTAAACACGTCTCCCCCGGGGTACCTGGGTCCTCCCCTGATGTGCTTACATTTCTGATTTGTTTCAAGAATAAATTCTTCCATCCAAACATGGCCAGGCAGAGCACACGGACACCCTGAGGGGCGTGGCTGAGGGTGACTGTGTCCCCAGCAAAGCAGGCCTCCCTCTGGGAGTTTGGGGGCAGGATTAGGGGGTGGTGGGGCTCTGGGATTACCAGCAGCCTGGGAGGTGGGCCAGGACAGCTCTTTGGGGCCTCAGGGCCTGGGGCTCCTGCTGGGTGACCCTGGGTATGTCCTGTCCCTCTCTCGGGCCTCGTCTTCATGGAAAGGGGATTGGGTGCCTCCTTTTCCCTGCCCTTCCCATCTGCCACTGCACACACCCTGCCCCTGCCTGCTGTCTGGGGGTGCTGGGAACCCCCCTTGAGGACAAAAGCACCCCCATGTTGGTCCCTCCTGGCTTCACTCTGTCCCTTCCTCCAAGTATCCTCCTGTCCCTGCCTCATTCCCTCACTTCTAGGGGCCCCCACTTTTAGGCCCAGTGTTACTTCTCAAGTCCAGACTGGGCTCTGACTTGTTCAGGGCATCACCCTGCGAGAGGCTGCCTGTGGGTGCCCGGGTCCCCAGGGTCTGGGCCAGATGTCAGGATGCTAGGTTCCTCGTGCCAAGGATGAACCCTGCTCAGAGCCCTGAGGCTGGCTGAGGTCCGCCGTGAAGGTTCCCCCTCTTTCCCACCTCTGACCATCTCTAGAAAAAGGTGGGATCCAACCAGCCAGCAGTTATGCATCCCAAGCCGCTTGGCTTCTCAGAGCCTCAGT